TTAGGTGCCATTGAGTTGGTACTGACTCATAGCGACCCTATGTACAACAGAACGAAACACTGCGGTCCTAGGCCGACTGCACAATTGTTGCCACTCTTGAGCCCATTGATGCTGCCACTTGGCCAATCCATCTCACTGGGGGTCTTCCTCTTTTTCTCTGACCCTCCACCTTACCAAATATGATATCCTTTTCCAGCGACTGGTCCCTCCTGAAAATATGTCCGAAGTATGAGAGATGAAGTTTGGCCATCCTGGCTTCCAAGGAGCACTTTGGCTGCACTTCTTCCAACACAGATCTGTTTGTTCTTTTGGCAGCCCATGGCACTTTTCAATATTCTCCTCCAACACCATAACTCAAAAGCATCAATTCTTCAATGGTCTTCCTTATTCACTGTCCAGTTTTCGCATGCATACGAGGTGATTGAAAATATCATGGCTTGGGTCAGGTGCACCTTAGTCCTCAAGTTGACATCTTTGTTCTTTAACACTTTAAAGATCTCTTGTGCAGCAGATTTGCCTAATGCAATACATCGTTTGATTTATTGACTGCTGCTTTCCTTGAGTGTTGATAGTTGATTCAAGAAGAATGAAGTCCTTGACAACTTCAATCTTTTCTCCATTGATAAGAATGTTGTTTATTGGTCCAGTGGTGAGGATTTTAATTTTTTTTTACATTGAGATATAATATCCCTTGTAGGTGTATAGATATTATCCCATAACAGACAGTGGTGTATTTCAAGATAGATCTTGAAATATTCTTTTTGTTGATGAATGTTAAGCCATTCCTCTAGAGTTTTTCATTCCTGGCATAGTAAACCACATGACTGTCAGATTTGAAACGGCCAATACCAGTCCATTTCAGCTTACTAATGCCTAGGATATCAATTTTTATGCATTCCATTTCATTTTTGACTACTTCCAATTTTCCTAGATTCATGCTTATTACATTCCATGTTCTAATTATTAATATCCAGATGTTTGCAGCTCTTTCTCCTAATTTTGAGTTGTGCCCCATCAGCAAATGAAGGTTCTGAAAGCTTTGCTCCATTTGCATCATTATGGTCAGCTCTACTTTGAGAAGGCAGCTATTTCCTCAGTCATATTTTGAGTGCCTTCCAACCTGAGGGGCTCATCTTCTGGCGTTGTATTCAACTGTATTCTGGTGCTCCTCATAATATTTTCATTTTCCATCTAACGATGTTCCTTTGCTGCTCATAAGGGTTTCAGCGGGGTAGTCTGCCTCTCCTTCTTCCTCATTTGGTATAGTTTGGAAGCTCCACTGAAACCTGTCTGGCATGGGTGACCCTGCTGGTATTTAAAATACCATGGACTCAGCTTCCAGCATTACAGCCAGAGGCCAGCCACCACGGTAGGACAGACTGACAGATGAGTGGCGGCTAGTCTATTCTTTAGCTAGCAAATTGCTCCCCCATCCCTTGCATAACCTCATAACCATCAAAGAATGTTTCTTTCAGCATGAAAACCATTTCTTGAGTTTTCACAGTAGTGAACTCATACAGTATTTGCCATTTTGTGATAGTATTCCATGTGTGTATGCACTAAAGTTTGTTTATCCATTTTTCCACTGATGGCCATTTAGGTTGTCTCCATCTGTTTTGCTCTTGTGAATAATGTTGCGATGAATATGGGTATGGATGTATCTATTTGTGCCACTGCTATTATTTCTTGGGGATATCTACTAAGTAGAGGGATTGTTGGTTTATGTATTATTGCTATTTCTAGCTCTTTGAGGAAATGCCATAATGTTTCCCACAGTCATTGCACCATTTTACAGTTCCATCTGTGGTGTAGGAGGGTCCCAATCTCTCCACACCCTCACTAGCATTTGTTGTTTTCTAATCTTTTGAACTTTCCTTTAGTAATGGGATGAGATGATATCTCACTGCTTGTTTGATTTGCATCTCTCTAATGACTAGTGATTGCAAATATTTCTCGTTTGTTGCCTGCAAGAATGTCTTCTATTCAGAAATGTCTGTTTATGTCCTACGCCCACTATTAAATTGGATTATTTGTCTTGAAGTGGTGTTGTAGTTTTCTATAAACTTTACAGATTAGTCCCTTTTCTGACATATTGTTATGAAGTATCATAATGATATATTATGATATCTTAAATGATATACCATTGCATTTTTCCCCACTCTATTTTTGCTCTTTTGGTGAAATCTTTGGTAACATTATTGTCTAATTTTTAGGAGGTCCAAGTCATCTATTTTGTCTTCCATTGTTTGTGTGTTTTTTTAGTTTTGTTCGATGGTGTATTTATGTCAAGTATTTGAACTCTTAACTTTGTCCCTTTTTTTCCATGGATGATGTTTATAGTTTTAGGTCTTCTCAACTTCTCAACTTTTCTGTAAATCTAAAAGCCCACTAAATGCACTGCTGTTGACTAGATTCCAGTTCATATTACCCCTCATGGCAGAGATGCTCCATAGGGTTTAGGAAGGTATAAGTCTTAATGGCAGCAGATTACATCATTTTATCCCGGAAGTGCCTGATATATTGGAACTGCTGACCTTTGGTTAACAGCCCACTGCTTAACCCATGGTGCCACAGAAGTTCAAAGTCCAAAGTGACTCTAAAAACTGAAATCACTTGAATCCATCTTCTGGGCTGGTTGTTCACAGGCTCTTGTCTGAGTCATCATGGCAAGAATTACCCACTCTGGTATCTGTAAGTTTAATTGTCAGCCTATGGGGCATGCAGGTTCCCCGACCTCCACCCATGGGGCCAGAGGCAGGCCTGGGAGCCCAGTCCCTAGCCACCTTTGGTACCCTGACCCATTGATCTGTGTCAGCCTGGGACTGTGCCCCATGGGGCCACCTGCCTCCAGTTGGCGTAATTGCTCTCCAGGGCTGCTCCTGGTGGCTTCCCTGATGAGGTGTCTGCTGGAGGGGATGGCTTCTAGTTAAAGGTCCAGATGAAAATAACAGAGCCACAGAGCAGAAAGACATAGGTGTTTAGACACAGGTCACATCTCACCTTTCCCACCTGAGTAAGATGTATGTGTCTTCCATGTAAATGTGGCATCATGTTCAGACAAAAATGATTGGGATGCACCCCTTGTATTAGTAGTTCAGTAGTAGTGAGTAGTAGCTGCCTGTCTGCCCATTCCTGGCCTTTTGGATTTCTATCCTAATTTTGCTTTTGATGTGCCTAAAAAGACAGTTTTTTTTTTTTTTTTTGCTCTGACATATTTTATTGGGGGGAAAATTCTCTTAAAAATGCTTTGCTCATGTCTTTTGTCTTTTCAGTTTGAAACTAAAGTGCCGGGACCTGCCACACATCTGCTCTTTGTCCTAATCTACGTACTTGATCTATTGTTGACTAATCTTTGCAATCAATCTCGTTGTGCTGATGAATATGTACAATTGGTAAGAAGGGAACCATTCAGGGAGCCGAATCTCCACTTAGAAAGTGGGCGGGAGATCACTGACTCAACAGGGAAGGACCTGACATCAAGTCATCCGTGAATCTCGTGCAGGAGGACAGAGGGCTGGAGTGGTCAAGCCTCCGGTGGACCTGCAGGTGGGTCTACAGGCAGGAGGAGCTCAGCTTTAGGAGGTCGAGGCAGGAGAAGCATGTGTGGGCATCGCTGCTGCATGTAGAGGATCTTAGTGGATGCTTGGGGGATCGATTGCATGGCTTGTTGTTACTGAGTGAGACCTGGAAGGGACCCTCAGAAGCAGAACCCTCAGGTGAACCCCATCTTGCTCCTCATGGCTTCTTGTTCTGCTGACCTGAGAGGGCTGTGCTGTCTCTGCTCTTGTGCAGGAACAAAGAAGGGCTTCTGGGATTAATCAACCAGCAGTCCAAATGGTCAGAAATGCCAGAACTTTCCCATTCTTGAGCTCTCCCAACAGGGCACTGAACACATACTCCTGCGTGTGCAGTATCCTGTCTGCATTACACTGTGGAGGAGACAAGTGCTCAAAAGGTGCAATGTAGTGGGTACCATGCTTTGGGATGTCTTCAGATCATCAAAAAAGCATCCAGGGAGAGACTGTGAACTCTTGTAACCCCACTGGGGTTTGCCGTGCTCCCAGAAAAGGGACACTTGATACAGGTGAATCTGGCTGCTCCCTGAGTGGGGGCCCTCCCAAAGAGCTGAATCAGAGGTCTGGGGTACCTGCATTGGTGGGAAAAGCATGGACAGGTGCTGAGGTTTGGCATGTGCCCATTCCTGCTGCCCCTAGCCCTGAACAACTGGTGCTTCTTGAAGGAATGGGTTTCATGCCAGCCCAGGAGAAAAAGGGTGGAGTTGAAACGGGTTGGGCTCCTGCCGTGGTATCAATTGCTCCATACAAGCTGGGGTGGTCCCCTCAGCCCTTTCCTACATAGACGTCTACAGTGGGTGAGGCTGGCAGACTTATGACAGAGACGTCTGTGCAGGTGTCTACAGCGGACTTGGACCATCCCTCCTTGCCCTGCATCTGTGTCTGCCTAGGTGAGTAGAGTCCTAGGTGCCCAGGCTTTTCCTCATGACATGCTGTTGTTGGTAAGTGCTATTGAGTTGCTTCCAACTTATAGCGACCCTCTATAGGGCTCCGAGGGGCAGCTGGTGAGCTTGAACTGCCACCCTTGAGGTTCAAACTGATGTGGCAGTCCAGCGCATTAACCTATGGGATTTAGAGACCTGAGTAAAAGTTTATACTGTGCTTACTGTGTAACTGACAGTGTGATTCTGGGGACACGTTGGCCACAAACAGGGGACAGCTGTTGGGGAGGGCTGTCATCAGGGCTAGGTGGAGCTACATGGGAGAATCCAGCATGAGATCCAATTTCTTGACTGCCTGCCCCAGGATGAAGGGACACATTGGTGCCTTAGTTGTGTGCAACTGTGGGATGGGAGCAGGACC